ATGCCACCCGTCATCCCCCCCCAGCAGCCTTCCCTAAGGACAGGGATACAGCTCTCCCGCCAGGGGCCAGCGGTCTCCTGGGCTCCAGCCCAGGCCCAGGACACTAATCTATTCCCCTGGTGTCCCTCCTCCCCTTGCAGATCACATTTGAGATCTCCAAGCAAGAAGACTGGCAGATCCCCATCTGGATCATTGTGGGCAGCACACTGGGGGGCCTCCTGCTGCTGGCCCTGCTGGTCCTGGCACTGTGGAAGGTGAGGGCCCCCCATGGGGTGGGGTGGGGTGGGGAGCAGCATCCTGGCTGGTTGGCCCATGCCTGGGATTCCAACCTCGGGGCTCTGTGGCCAGTCCCCATGTTCTACTCCCCATGGGAGCTGGCACCTGCCTACCCTCCTTCGCAGAACTTGCCTGCTGCCACAGCACCCAGCCAATCACCGCAGGCTGACTGGCCACCAGAGGGCACTCTACCTATGGCTTCCACCCTTTCGTAGGCCCCTTTGAGAACCTGGTGAGAGCTAGGGTTCCTCTCATCAGAAAAAAAGCATGTGCACACAACCACAAAATGTCTCCGACAAAGGCAGGCTGTTAAACATGCCAAAGCCCTTCGCTGTCACTGAGCCTCAGGTTAAGAAGCCCTGATCTCAACCTCCTTCTATTCAAATAAGGTGAAGGCGGCCCAGAGAAGTGTTACCTGGGGCAGGGTCACTCAGCAAGGTGTCTTGCCTCCAGACCCAGGCTGTACTCACTCTGCTCCAGTGCCCCCTCACCAATTAAGCGGCCCAGAGAGAGCTGGGGAGGGACAGAGGGTACTCATGGTCCTGAGCTGGGTATTCTGGAAGCCTTCGAGGGAAGACGCCTGAAGAGGGTTAGTGGAGGGACAGCAAGGGAGGGGAGTTAGGCCTTGTCCACTCTGCCCACTCCTGAGACTTCTGCCTTTGCCTCCCCACAGCTCGGCTTCTTTAAGAGTGCCAAGCGCAGGAGGGAGCCCGACCTGGACCCCACGCCCAAAGCGCTGGAGTGAGGCTCCCGAGGAGGCTGCGAGTTGACGGGGCCGGGCCAGGGCCAGGTGGTGTGCAGGCTCAGGCCAGTGGCCCCGCGGAGCTGGGGCAGAGAGGATGCCAGCTCGCTTTGCACTTGACCTCATCTGAGAAACCAAGCCTGCTCCCTCTGAAGGGAACTCAAGCCAGTTTTAAGAGGGACTGCCCTGCTGGGAGACCGAGACACCTCCATCAGAGATCCCTGGGAATAGAAAGGGACCTCTCCCAAGGCACCCC